AAATTACTGAAGAGATCTTTCTGAGTGCTTAAGCCCACACAGAACTTCTTTTATAACCTCTTTCCATTGACAACAGAAGCAACCAAAAAAACTCAACAAAACATAAACACCAAATCCACAAAGGTGATAATCTCTGAAGACTTGTACCTATCTCAAGGCAGTACAGGCAGAAAGGATTTCAAGAGGCACTTATTGAATGCTTTGTACCTGACAGCATAATGAGCTTCTCCAAAGCTTTTATTTCTTTTTTGTATTCTTTAAACTTATCTAAAGAATTTTCAGCAAGCAGAAATTCTGGGGAAGCATCCTGTAATTAGTGGAAGCATGTGGAATGTCTGCTTAAGACCACTGCACTGTACACACAGATTTTTGATTTTTACATATAATATATTATCAGATTAGTAGCCACCACAAATATTTAGCTGCTACGCACAGGAGTGTTACAGCAAGCTTATGCAGAAACTTTCTCTTTGCTTGCTGAAGAGGAAGAAGTAGGAGACAGTAGTCAAAATTTTTTTACTAAGTAGAGTCCTGAATTATGGACGACTGAAAATGGGATCCCAAACCCCCTCCGTTTCCAAGCCACTGGTGTGAGGTAGAGATAGGTTGGGCTGGGACCAGAGAAGCAGATGTGCTGCTGGAAAGATGTCAGAAGAATAGGGACACAGGAAAATTAAGGTTGAAACGGACCTGGGGAAGTTATGTAGCTCAGCCTCCTGCTTAACGCAGTGGCAACTATTACCTGAGAAAAAAGTTGGTCACTCTAGAACGATTTTACATGGAGAAGTGTTTGCTTCACAGAACCCACTATTCTTCTAGTTTCCTCTATTATTTATTATTCTTCAAGGGAAGACAAAAAGATGCGAATTATATTTCTTTTATTTGGCTGATCTGGGCTTTTTTCTAACTCATTTAATTACAAAATAGAAACATATAAGGCAGAAAGCAGTTATGGCTTAGATGTTATTGAAGTAACTAGACCTCTATGGAAAATTTTAAGGGAATTATAAGTTTTGACAAATTCAGTGTATGCTTCGTTGAATAATTTTGCTCACCGGGAGACCTGACAGTTTCAATATTAGCTATTCCTGTGGCTAATATACACTTCTAAATTATAAAGTAGCACAGGAAATTTTTGAATACAGGTACTTGCAGTAGTCTCAGCTCTCTCAGAACTTGACAATTGACTTGTTTAGGATAACAGGAAAATAGTATACATGGTAAAGTTAAGAGAAAAGGTAGGAGTAAAATGCTTGGTTAAATTACTATAATGTCTTTCCTGAAGTTCCTAGAGAAGACAGGTAGCCATTATTGCAATCAAAGGGATGACTAAGACTGTCACTTTAAATTTCTTTATCCTTATATAGTGGAGGGGAGGCAGGGAGAGGAAGGTATATATATTTGCCCAATACTTATACTCGCCACTTAGCATCTGTTCTGGGGTCTGAGATGCAGCACCAACTCAGATGGATCTTTAGTGTGACCTTGTGCTGACATTTTATGTTCATACAGATGTCTTTGTTTCCTTTTATCCTAAACCAGCATGGAGTATCTTAGGGACAGATTTGCCAGTGGCTGTCCATCCTTGGGGTAAGGCAAGCATTTGTCTCATACCCTAATGACTGCAGTAAAACCATCAGGACTTAAAAAGAACTAAGATCTGAGCCTGATCCCATACTACTAGTTTCACAATACGGCTTCTTATATTAGTGATTTTCATGTCCACTGATTTAACTGAAGTTAATTTCTTTCTACATAGTTACTAGATCAGATTCAAGCCCTTATTACTAAAACAGAACTCTAATCAATTTTACCATATGAGCCACAGGGTCTCTATGGGGTTGTGTACCCTTCTGCTCAACTATGAAGAGCATTTTGCATCCTTTTTTCTCAAAAGTCTATTGTAAAATACTCAGGACAAAAAAAAAAAACGGCTTTATTTTTAATGGTATAAAAAAGAACTTTGTTAATTCAGTGAATGCCTACTCAGGCTCTGAAGAATTTGCAGTATTCAACCATAGATCTTTGTAGTGAACAACAAGTCCAATCATTCTGGTTGCATTATACAAAGTTCCAGGAATTCTTTGGCATGAAAGAACTTAAATACATTTTCTGGTACATGGAAATAATATTTGATTTAAAGATATATCCCACAGAAGTCAGTGTTGACAAAACCTAGTTTAACTATAAACAAGTATTTTGACATTATTTAACCCCTATTCTGACTTCTTCATGAGCAATTCAATTAGCTTCTTGGCACTGAATTACAATTCATGCACAAATTCTTTATATCAGTAAGTAGATACATAACAGTGACAGAAGAAGGAGCCCCAACAAAAACTACTAGATTTTTCCTTTTAGAAATCAGTACTTTTGATTAAATAAATGATCATGGAGCAAGGAATCAAAACATGTTTGTGTGGGAAATCAGCCAGATCATTCTTGGACTCCCCTAAACCTCAAGCAACACATGCTGACAAAGAAAGAAATTGTATTGGTTTTGCATTCCTTGTATTAACTTTTTTAGTCCTCATTCTGAAGTTTTTTAAAAGAACATGGATAGTTAAGTAGTTTATACTTACCATTTGTATAGTTTATACGTTTATACTTACCAAGGATATAGGTGCTTCCAAATTAAGCTCATATTTGTTTTATTTGTAATTCAGCAATAATTAAAGTAATGCCTCCCAGAGCTCTTTTTCCAATAGCCAAGTTACTATCTAATACTACAGCCTGATCCATCACCTATAAAACAATATACCATCTCCAAAGTCAGTGAGTGACAGCTGCAACCACACAAGGGTTTGAGGTATTATAACTTCTCTTTATAACCTAGACAGAACACAAAATCCATGAGATGTGTTTGCAGCGGCAAATACTCAAAGAAAAACACAACAAGAAAACCAGCAAGCAAAGTTCAGTGCAAGCGGTTATTCCTCTCAGCAGCTGAAACCAAAGAAATACTAAACGCTGTAAACCAGTTTCAAATCATGGGAAAGAGCTGGAAACTTTCTATGGTAACTTTCTGATACTGCTACATAAAGCTTGATTTGGTATCCATGGAACAATTATCCATCTGCTTCAGAACTGGTCATTCATACTAGTTTGTCCACATTAAGAATCTATAAAAAATATAACATGAAACAGACCAAAATCGGCCTCCAAATCTAGCTCCTCCAGAATGTTAATATCTTTAGTCTGCAAGCAGTAACTCATACAGCTGGCTTGTTAAAACAAAAAAAAAACGTTAACGGATGACTTCCCCCAAAATTTTTAGGTAGGCATAAAAATTAAAACAACTATCATCTCTTTTTGAAATAAAACAAAGTAGTACTATCAATTTTGGAACACCAAATACTATACAACAGGTTTTAATCATTATGACCAGCTCTAAATACAGGACACAATAGAATTGTTCACTAAAGTTCCGCCCATTTCTGCTTGTACTTTTGATTCCAGGAAAATTATACAGTGAAATTATTCTGAAAGACAATTCTCTGCATAATAAATAGATATGGAAGAGTGTGTGCACATGGAAAAAGAACAAGAGTTCAGTTCTCAAACTGAAATTATGTTGGCTTCTGCTTGTGCAAGCTGTGTATCTTCAATGAGGTTGCAGTAATGCCGGAAGCATTTCCGCATGAATTCAGTCCTTATTCTCCCCAAACTGTCTGCATTATTTATTTATTTATTTGCTTACTTTAAGAAAGGCTTCTCAAAAGAGATTTCACATTCAATAAAATTCTAGACTTCTCCGAGTTAAAAATATTCCATCACTAGACCTATTGTGCGTAACCCTTAAATACCTTTTGTTCCAAGTGAGATCACAGTCCTTTAGATATAAGACCATTTACCCATTAGATGGGTTTTCTTATTAAAAGTGTTCTTTTTTTTTTTTTTTTTTTTATTCCTTTTAAATGCTAATGCTAAAGCCTTAAGTGAATTCAGAAAAAGAAAAACGAAAACATTTTACGGGAATCTTTTACATTTGTGGCCTGGCAGTGAAAGACAAGGATGCACGGTGTCTCGCTGCCAGAGGATGTAACACGGCCTTGCTGAAAACAGACTGGAGTGACTGGATTTCCTAAACTTGACAGCTCTAAGCAAAAAAAAAAAAAAGATTATTTTAACCTATTTCACAAAACAGTCTATTTGGACTCTTCAGGGTAAATTCATAGAAAAGGCAGCTGAGTCAGCTAAGGATTTCCCATAGCAGAAACTGAGAAAATTCAGACGTCTATTGGTGTGTCAAAACAGTAACAGGCACAATTACTTTATTCATACTTCTATGTTAATATCATCTTTTCATAACATCATTACCTTCTCCTATAGCTCTTCAGTCATTATTTTACTGTCTCCTGCAATTGCTTAATGCAGTTCTTGAAAACATTTGGATTTTCCTAAGTTTAAGTTGCACAAGTCTACAGCAAAAAAGAGAAGCATCACAAAGCAGAGAAACCAGCTGTTAGTTTGTAATGTAATTCTGAAGAGTTAGCAAACCAACTGGAAATATAAAGGAAACAGTATGCACAAAAATATATAGCATAGTCAGTAAGACTTTCCAATGTCAGTGCAGGATTGTATCTTACAGAAGATTACTGTCAACTTTGTGCACCCCGATTTTAGAATAAAGCTTTCAGAATTTTCTTCCTTTCTGTTGGAAATTAAAATAAGTTCAGATATGTAGGCAAAGTATTAACATAACTTCTATTAGTTTCACCTCCAGTTAAATGACAAATCTCTTTCCTGGATATTCAGAGCCATCAAACATAATTAGAAACTTTGTTTACTTTTCTGTTTTACTCTCCAGTTACAATTCTAATCAGCATGAGGCATGTGTATCTCTATCATTGGCTATTTGCAGCAGATACATTGGGCTGTAGAGGTAAAATTACAAAATTTTCTTTTCAATAGCAATGGCCCCTGATCTATTACAAAAAACAAACTTCCATCTCTAAGCAACTGATCTCTTAGCAACAAGAAGCACCTGCATAAAAGATGCCACAGAGAGTGATCACCAGAAAACCTATTCAGATCTTTAAAAGGAGCACATCAGTAACAACGATAGCACTCTTCACTAGTAAAAATCAAGAAGTAACAAGACGACACAGGTAAATTCTTAATTTGTTTTCTAGCCTTTTTCTTCAAACAGTGTGAGAGATTACAGAAATGTTTATTATTTTGTTTTTGAGTGGGAAGTGTGCCTTCTGGAGCTGCTTTGATTTGAGTTACTGTAATTAACTTTGTGTAAATTATATGTTGTCACTATCTAAATATATATTTATTTTTTTTAGTAGAAAATCTCCAGGTCTTAAACCAAATCCTTGGTATTAAAATAACAATAACGTGTTATATATTTTGTAAGTATTCTACAAAGTTTCTTTCTAATAGCCTGATGTTCTCAAAGAACAACCATCCTTTGAAAGCGTTCACTTCATTCAACCTTTCAAACTGTTTATATCACATCAACAAATACTAAAAGTTTTTAGGTTTTATAGATGCTATGATCAGGCTCCACTGATAAAAAAACCAAAGCTGTTCAGTGTTTCCATGGTCTCTGATTTCATTCTATGTACCCTAAAGTGCACTTTGTTCCATTTACTACATTTCATGCAAAGATTTGTATCATGACGAAGTTAAGGTAGAATACATTGCATGGAGTGGACACTGTTGACTGTTGATGATGTACAGCAATGTGGAATTAGTTGGCGAGTGAATTCGGACAATCCAACATTTCCAAGCATCATTGTAACAGCAGGGAAAAAATATATTATGAGTGAGGTCAAAAGATGGTCATCAGGTAGAACAAATCGGGAAGTGACCCAGAGAATTTTTTTATTCTATCCTGGCTTGATCTCTCTCAGTTGGTGCTGGCTATAGAAAAGTGCTGTCTTTCTTTAAGCTGCTACACCTGAGTTAATAGTTAGTATAATAATAATTATTATATATATAACATATATATAGTAATACTGTACATTATAATGATATATATCCTGATTAATAAAGTCATTTGCAGGAAGAATGGTTTGAGAAGTCACACATTCTTCCTTAGTTTTGTTTTTCCAAATAGATAAATTTTCTTCAGGATTAATTTACATACTTTGATAGAATACTTGGTGTTTATAGCCAGAAAAAAACCCAAAAATTTAATTTACATTTCTTACAGAGTAGTCCTTTCTAACTAACTTCTTGCTTAAGTTGATCAAAGTATTTGCTAGCAATAAAAGTACTACAGCAGACATAATTATGGCAGAGAGAATGGCCTTCTATCTGTCAAATTAGAATCAAAACTACCCACCCAGGAGTAGAGGAAAACCAACAGTAGCTACATACAGAAACCCCTCCTTATGGAGTCTGTTTTGCCATAGTTGTAACAAGGAAGTCTGACAAAAAGTGTGCCTGAGAGACACACTTTTGAGTTGTCCATCCACAACTCATTTTCTGGTTAGCTTTGAGTTAAGTACAGATTACAGCATTCCAGGGAAACTCTGAGGTAGACAGGCAGTAAAATATATTCTTAACAACACTGCAGAAGTTTGCACATCCCCACAGCTCTTTTTGATGGCTTACAAGCACTGACACACCTATTCTGCTTCAGGAGATCTACATTTCAGATGAAACCCTTTTACTATCTCATGTGGATAGTACTTTTAATGGACATTATATTGGTTCCTAAGCAACAATCAGACCTTTTGTGAAAGGTACTGAAACTGGCAAGTTATTTTTCCAAATCATACATCAGACTGCAACTAAAACATCAGAACAGGACATAGACAAATTCTAATTTCAGATCATTGTTCTTCTGAAAGAAAAATCACCATATAATTACAGATTGTTCAGAAAGCAGAAACCCATATTGTACAGTTATCTGGGAAGCACATAGCGTTCCTTGTCTCGCACATCCATGTTGTACAAATAGCTACAAGAAAGTAGTATGGACACTGGCCAGAAATGAGAGAGATGGCTACCAATTTTTATTTACACAGAGCACACTATCACTCCAAGTCTTGCTCACTACAGGCAATCGTGTTTTTACAACTGGCTACTTTGAAGACTTAACATTCTAGTGGAAAGTGATTTTTCAGGATGTGAATATTCATCCTCTGAAGATCAGTTTAGACATCTAAAGTAACTAGCAATTTCTAGAAGGATACACTTCAATCAAGACGTTCAGAATATCAAAACTTTCACTGGCTACTCCCAAAGACAGCATCCAAACCAACCTGACAGTAGATTATAAATACTTTATTTTGGAAGCTTACTAAGCTCCATGATTAATAGCAACATAAAAACCTAATTTAGCCATTTCAGCAATAATTTATCACTTGATCAGTACATGGTTATATGTCAGCAATATTAGATCTTTGGCATTAAGGACCACTGGAAGGATCCAGTAACTTCTTTGGAATGTTTAAAGGCAGGGCTTACAGCTCCATGGTACTAGAAAAATCACTTATATAAATCACAAGAGCCACCTGTAGGATACCTATTTGACTCTCAACTTGCAGAAATTACAGCTCCAAGCTCATTACATGGCTCCTCCACAATATCTAAACGTGTGTTTAAATGACTCCATGTTTAAAACGTGACAACTTCTAATTTAATCCAACAGATATCTCAGTAGATGACCCAGAATGACAGGCACAAAGATGAATGTTGCACAAAATGAAGGTTGCAACCAACATTGGCAAACACTGTGATACAACGAGAGCAGATCTGTTAAAAAAAAACCAGTTGGTAATGATCTACTCTCTACACTATACACATTTCACTGGAGTTCACTTCAATATAGATCTATACTGGTTTTGTCATTTGAATCCCTGTTAAAATCTCGTGTGCATGAGACACAGTTTTGGAGTACATTACCTGATTTATTTTCATCCCAAAAGACCTCAGTTTGCATGCTCTGAGATTGCTCTGTGATATGTAGTGAAGCAAGGGAATGGGAATAATCTGAAGGTTTGCTATCAAAGCAGACCGCAATACAAACTCAACCACCAGACACCATGAGCCATTGTCCTCCTGGACTATTGCACACTCAGGCAGCATCCACAGAACAAATACAAGAAACCCACTACTTACCTAGCTAGACAGTAGTCTTCTAGTTGTAAAATGCACAGCAAAAGCTATCTACACACTTACACATAGAAGACTGAACCTTTACAGTCTGCAGGAAACTGTCAAACTCAAGCGCATAAAAACAGTCAATACATAAAATCAGCTCCTAGAGAGACAGGAAGGCTACAACATTTTATCTGGAAAAATAAAGACTTACTGGGCTTATATAAGCCAATAGATTTATCTTTATTTGAAAACAGTCTACTTAAAATTTTGTTTTTCCAAACTGTTTAGTTAAACCTAGGTAATTGCTTCAGATACTGCTGATATTAGTCTCTAACATTTAGAGATTTATAACTAGTAGCAGGTTTTTTTCCCCAATATCTTTCCTGACAGATGAACCATTACAGAGGAAAGAATTCCAGCACTCGGGAATGGTTCTTCAAGAGTGTTCACAAAGTTTTACAACCTTCATCTCAAAATTATCAGAAATTTTCAGCTCCAATTCCATAATATGATGCATAATTTGCTCTTCTACTGATACAGTCATTAAGTACAAAGCTCTAACTGGAATAAAAGGGGTCAATGCAGTTATCCTTTAGATAGATGGACTTTTTTGTTTACTGTGGACCCTGTCATCATATCACCTTTTGCAAGAAAACATCCGACAGAACGCAGAATTTTCTCAGTGTTTTGTATTTTACAGTCAAGACTTAAAGATCAGTGATCCAAGGGGCCCTCTGCTGGCAAATGCTTTCCCAGCTGTTAAGATCCACAGTAATCGTTGCAGCCTATGCACATCCATCTCTTGTCACAAAAGCACTTCCTTATTATAAGTCTCTTTCCTCCCGCTATTTGATTTTGAAAGCTTTTTTGCCCCATTCCCGTCCCTGCCTCCACCGTATAAACTACGAATTTAACATTCATAGATACAGGTTTGTACATATAGGTGTGTTTATTTCATACTACCCGAATGCTTAACTACCTAATTACTTCTCTTCATAGGGAATATGAGGCAGAGAAACTACTGTACAGACACACCAGAATGTCTCAGAGATGAAAAAAACAACAAAAAACAAAGAACATCAGAGCCCACCTCTGGCAAAGAAGTACACAGATGAAGTTCATCCAGATCCAGAGAAAAGCAATAAAAGAGCAAAACCATATGCCCTAAGTGTAGTTATTTCCTCCTATAACATGAGCTGTAAGCTCATATAGTGAAAGGGGCTGAAACTAATAAAAGTATTCATATATATATACATGTAGGCATGTTTTTATTGTGGTAGTGAATAGTCCTCAAGGAAGTTTAAAGCTAGCATTTTACTTGTACTAAACAAATATCATTAGTGTGCAACAGTACAGTAGTGAAACTAATAAATACAAAAACATTTTTTTCACAACATGCAAGACAATACAACAGTTGAACATGCACAAGAACTGCTGTGTACATGAACACTCTCCTAAGAGGTTTATTGCTACCTGTTGGCATAGCATGCCAATAGCAGAGCAGCATAGCAGAGCAATTGTCCAAAATACCGGACCGTTGATTGCACCTGCAAGGTTTTGAGCCACTGCTTGCTCTCTTCCCTGGGGTTTTGCCTGTCCTCTATAAGTTTTCTCCTTAGACCATAAATACCAACCTCCTTACTAGCTAGAAAGCATCTGTCATGTACTTGGCTTAGTTTAATATAACTATAGCACTGACAGTTACTACAAAGTAAGCTGTACTTTCTTCTGCGATGTGAGATCAAAGTACAAGAACAACAAGAAAGCAGTTGCTGAAAGTAAACAGTAACAAAAAGCTTCCTATTAAGTAAATACATCCTTCAATTTTGAAATACTGTCACTGGAAGGAACAAAGCAAATGTATTCTTAATTACTGTCAGAGCAGGATTAAGAAGTTGTATTACTAAATTACTGTGAAGATGCAGGCAATATCTTTCAGTGGTTACGTGAGTTCTCATTCATAGAATAACATCTTCCTTCTCAGGTACAATAACCTCTCATATTTTATAACTTAAAGGCAAAAACATGCAAAACAAATTTGAAGGAATCCTTCCACTCCCCCTGTGCATAATAGACCTGTCCACTTGCTTCGTTTTTCTTTCCTGTGCCAAGTGCCGGTTACTGCCCTTGGAAAAATATAGCAACAGACAATCCATGATCTTGTTTGTTATGGCATACACTGTATTTTTCAAAGTATTTAGCAGAAGAACCATAAAGAAATGCAATGCATTATAGTACACTCAAAGACTGACAATAATAAAAAAAAAAAAACCAAACCACAATATATTGTTTCAAACAAAAACCTAGAGAACACTCTATCTGCATCACGAAAAACTGATGTAGTGACTCTGGAAGTTCAAGGACTCTGGCACTATAGGCATGCAGGAAGGAAAAGAGCTAAGTAATAGAGATAAAAGCTTGTGGGTGAACTCATTCAGTGCTTCCACATGTGCTGAAAGTTTAATTTCTTGTGTTTTGGTTAGAAATTTGCAAGGAGTAAACCTCAGTATTGCCCAGCCAAGCCAATATCAGAGATAAAAGCTCTGTCAGCCAAAGCATCCAAAACTATGCTTCGATATCAAGGTCAGAAAAGCTTTGTTATTTCCAAGCAAAAAGAGTGTCTGCTGCATGTCTGTTTTGACTTGTGATGTAGCTTGTCCTGGCAAGCAGTCCAGGCACTCACTCTCATTATAAAATAAAGCTACCTCAAGAGCTAATTTGCTCATTTACAGGACCTACAAAGGGGTTGAGAGGTACAGACTAAAGCTGAATCACTGAAAAACTGCCTCTTTCCCCTTTCTCTCTCTGTAAAGCAAAGCAGAATCTCTTGGAAAAGATGGTACTGGAAACTCTGAATCCAATGTACTACAACATCACCAGCCTTTTACCAGATACGATGCCAGTGGCCACGGTGCCCATACTTATTCTTGTGTGCTTTCTGTTTCTAATATGGAATCATGAAGAAACTTCGTCAATACCAGGTAATTTAACTTTAGCTATAGTATCACCTAAAAGCTTTGGTTTCTCAAATTTAAGTGGGAAAGTCATGCTGAATAATGATTGTATGCCAACAAAATTTACTGAGTCATTTTAAGTAAAATAGCTTTTTAAAATAACTGATAAAAGAAATCAGGCTCTATTTAACCTCAGAACTTCCATAATAAACCTGGCTTGGTTATATAAATATATGACATTTAGTTTTCTGCTTTATTATATATATGCTACAAAGATATAATACCATTTTACAAACTCTAGATGTTCGCATTTTCATGTGCACTATAAACTTCTATTTCTTACATGCTTTAAGTAAGCTTTCTAAATTATCTTTACTGGAAACAAAATACTATTTATGAAATTATTCTGCTTTTAGTAGATTATCAACTTTTCTCTCCATGTTTGGCACAGAAGACCCTACAGAACAGAACAACATCAAATGGTTTTCCTTTCAGAGGGCCCCATCTGTAATGTTTTGGGGGCTTATGGCAGGGGACTATGGTTATTGATTCAACCTGTTTTTCATTAGCTGCAATGCAATGACCTACTGCCTGAGTGAGAGCAGTGCACACACCTCCCAGAGGTGTTGACAGGAATAATCCTGAACTAATGGAGTTGCACCTGAATGAAATTCTGAGAAAAGACCCTTGCCAAATATCCTTCAATATGCTAAAACGCATCAAAAGTTAGAGAACAAGGGGAAGTACTCACAGAAGGTTATGCATTCTATTTGAATACTTGATCTGGTTAATGAAGATAGATCTAAATTAATATGATTTAGTTCACAGTGGATCCATAAGCAACTTCTACACTTTTAAACCCTATGCAAGAATTTTTTAATTAATTGATTTGTTTCATTTTATAGAGCTAGATTTTTGTTTTGCAGATAAAAGAGGCAAATTAAGCTCTCTCTGAAGAAGGAAACTTTCTTTTAAAAATAATTACAGGCAAATTCTCTCCTGTTGTTTCCACTTTTTCCTTTTTGTTGTAAGAAGGAAATTTGGTGCTGAGTTACAGTGGAAGGAATTAGTTGAGAATTTTGTTGACTAAAGCTCTATTAATCTATTCTTAGCTCCTACTTAAGCATGTTTTCATAAATTCACAGCAGTAAAGTACTTTTTCCTTTAAATATCTGTTTTCTCACTATAGTATTAATGACTTTAGGATAAATGTAATTAATTACATTTAATTACATCAAAAGGATATTGACTTTTGTAGGTGTTACTATGTCTCTTCAACACAAAAATCACTCAAAGGATTTGTTAAAACCACAAATTAATAAACCATATATATCTTTTTTGTAGATCATTTCTCCTTAGTCCCAAAGCAACAATTTGGAGTTGTATAAAAAGTAATGAATATCATTTATTGTATGTACATTGAATGGACTATAGACTTCCACAGATATTAATATAGGATAATAATATAGGCTAACATAGGTGTCAACAACCTAGATGCAATCTTCCTTATGACAGAACCAGAGAATGGGATCGTATATGTGAACTGCGCAATGCAGACCTGACTGTTCCATTAAAAAGCTCCTTTGAAAAGGGTGATGATCAGATATATCCTCGTCAGTGAGCACTATGCAGACCAAACTTTTCTTACCCTCTTTCCTAGGGCCAGGATACTGTATGGGAATCGGTCCCCTCATTTCACATGGGAGATTTCTCTGGATGGGAGTAGGTAACGCCTGCAACTACTACAATAAGACATATGGAGAATTTGTGAGAGTTTGGATCAGTGGTGAAGAAACATTTATAATCAGCAAGTAAATCCTTGTTTTCTATCTTTAATAATATAAGGAGCTTTTGCATGCCTTTACAACCTCTTTGCTACTTTTTTTTCTAAAGGAGGATTGAAGTTATTCTTTTTCAAAAATTATCCTAATATAAGCCTTTTACTTCCTGCTCGTCACAGATCTTTTTCTAGTATTTAGTTTCTTTAAAGACTCTACTATTGAGGTCTATATGTATTCTCTCATTTTCTTCATGGAAAGGAAGAGTAAGCACTGTGGCTCAATCCTAAAAAAGTTTACTGTCTCTCTTACTATTCTATTTAATATTAGGATTACGTACTATACAGGAACCTAGACTGACTGCAACATAGGATTAGCCAAACTTTTGTTTCCTTAAACAAAATTCTTAAGTTTCTCTTTAAAATGGGAGCAATGATTGAAGATTATGGCTCAAATTCAGCAGGCTAATTAAACAAATGCAGCGTTATAGGATAATGAGTAATTGTTGTGGAACAACAATTAATGAGATTGCTCATAGACTTTGATTATACACAGTATTAAACATAATGCTAAACCACAGTCTATCATTTTATTAGCTCCAATGGATGGTTCCTTTCTTCTTACATTAGATCTTCTGGATGCTTCTGAGTTATGCTATGAAAAAAACTAGTAAAACGTTTACCATGTGTAATCGATAAAGAATCACAACATTTTTATTAGCAATATCAATCCACCCATACTCAGTTTTCATTATGTAAAAGCTTTCAAAAGGCAACGTAGTAGAGAGGACTATCACAGGATTAGCCACGTGAAGCAAGTCAGCTTCATCTCTGTCTGGTTTTATGGCTGCAAAAAGAGGTAATCATGACAGCAAAACTATTTACATTTCTATCCTACATAGGTCTTATAAAGGTCAACTAACGTGCTATGTTTTGGGAACGTAAAATGCTATGAACTCTTATTGCCGTCTTCGACCTCCTGTATTGCCAATTCACCAGAAACAAATCAGGAGTGCCGATAGGCGATGCCACAGCTGCAGCAGACTTTACAGTCAATACATCACTTTTCTTCAGACTTCATTTTTGCTTAAAAGCATTGACAGTACATAAAGAACTAGTGTTTAACTTTTTTTAAAAAAACAATAATTTAGAATAAAGTTTTCAGTGAATCATAAATTCACCACAAAACTAAATATAACCTGGATTCTATAAAAGATTCTTATTTCCACCAAGGTAATCTGAATTTTTACCATCAAATCTAACCATACCAAGATGCTAATGCATAGAGAGAAAGGAGTAGCAGTCTCGGTTACAACAGATGTTATCTTTTAGAGGACTTCATAAAAAAGTTTCATAAGGAAAACCTGCTTATACAAGGTCACATGTCAAAATCCTTCCGTAAAGCATTATTACGTGTCTCCTGTGTAGATGTGTGCAATGGAAAGCAAAATGAGCCTCCTGCACCTTTCCATTCCTCAGCACAGCTGTCTTAATTCAACACTATCTTTTCATGTTCATGAAAATACAGATTGTGTTCCTTGACATGCAAAAAACCTTTAAGGAAATGAGAAAAGAGAGCAGATGTGGAGAAGTGTAGAAAAGAGAAAACATGCTGAATTCCTTGGAAGGTTGGACCTGCAGATACACTCCTCCCTGTTTTTACTCCAGTCCTTAATCCATGTTTATCTATTTGTACCGTACAGCATCTCACTGTTAACTTTACCTCTGGCAATGCAAAACTACAGGGAAAACCTAGCACTGCCAAAGTCAGTATTTTGCTGAGTCCCATTTACTTTGCCTGACTGAAAAACTAAAGTAATCTGCCTAAGAAGCCTGGGATTTGGTCCATAAAGTATGCTACGTGACAAAGAAAGTAGCATATTGTTTCATTTCAGGTTCTGTTCTGATTTTCTTTCTTTTTGTTGGATTTCATTTGATCAGATTTTCATCGTGTCAGCATTTCTAAAACACTAGCTCCCTCTAAAGGAAATTATATCTTAAAGCAATAATGCTGGTCACAACTTGTTTGCTAGCACATACCAATAAACCTTGTGAACCGTAAAAAGAATTATACACGTGATGGATTTCACTAACATTTCTATTGAGGAATATTTATCCCACACATACCATCCTATTATGATGTGGCATATTTAAACGAAGCATGTGTATTTATGCTTCCTGTATGTACCAAATAGCTACAAAAATATAGCTGTAATTCAACACACACCTGTCAACTGTCTAACAAAATCATCAACTGTCAAATATTTTACAACTCATCTTCTGAAATATCTGACATTGGTCATTGCCCAAGTGTATCTACCTGTCTCTATATATATGCACTATTCAGATTAAAATATTTCAGTAACTATTTGCATTTTAAGTGAAAAACTGTTTTAAATCTGAAATCTATTATACATTCTGAATGCATTCACCATCAATTTCCTTTAATTATGTAAAAGGAACAATATTTCATGTCAAGCATTCTACTTCCTGCTAAATTGAGAATGCAAGTCAGCACTGCAGAGCAACTACAAAATGTCAGAATAAAAATGCTCCATACAGTCTATGTTTTGGGCTTTTTTCTCTCCCTCTTTCTTTCCCAGATCCTCAAGTGTTTTCCATGTAATGAAACATTGGCACTATGTTTCTCGATTTGGGAGCAAGCTTGGATTACAGTGCATTGGCATGTATGAAAATGGGATCATATTTAATAACAACCCAGCACACTGGAAAGAAATTCGACCCTTTTTCACCAAAGGTAAATCAGTGCACGTTAATACACTGTATATAGTATATATATATAGTCTATCTTTTCTGAAATGATGTTTTTCCTTTGCATACTTAAATTACAGAAATGGGTTCTCTTTATATATCCCATAGAAATATTTTATTGCACATGTTCTTTCACACTTATCCTGCTTGATACATTATTTGAAATGGTCCTGAAGTAGTTTTGAAGATTCTTAATTTCATCCAACTAAAACAAAATTAAATAATGCCCACAAGCCATGTTTTTAAATGTTTTTACATTTCAAGTCCTGCATTTAGAGGAGCTCAACTGGCATTTCCATAAATGTAGTTGGCTGTTCCTATCCCAGCCTCCACCAAGTTCAAAGACCTTTCTGTTTTATTTTAATTGGAGAAAAAACAAAAAAGCTTTAGTTTCAAAATTAATTTAGAAGATGTGCACAGCAGAACTACTTATTAATCGCTTTAATATGATAGAAATCAATGTAGTAACAGCAAAAAAGATTGAAGTAATTAATATCGCTAGGTTGAAATCAAATAGGAAATTACCTAAATAAACTCCAGTGTTACTATTTTGTGAGTCTGCAGTTTTTTGATTCACCTTCTTGCCACAAATGGAAAATTTTCAGCCTTTGACGTCATTAGTATTAGCTATTTCTGATGATGCTACAGCCTTCCTAACAAAACTGCCACACTTCTTGCTCTGCAACCTCCATGGTTCAGAACAGATTCTCACCAGCTGAGACTGCAGTGGTTTATGACAGTAATTCCAGAGCCTGAAAGCAAAAGCAACACCTAAAAGAAATGTTTGGTTTAAATTTTATGTGCTGTTCTGTTGATATATCTGTGCTCCTATATGACACTTAGGCCTTTCCTACATGATTTTGCTATTGAAAAACATCAGCAACTTTGTACTGGTTGAAGATGGCAGGAAAAAAAAAAATTGTTTTTCTACTTATTCCTACAACCACCAGCTCTATTTACAAAACAAACCTCCTCTCTTCTCAATTACAAACATACAAACCCTCTCACATTTGAAAAAATAATGCCCTTGAGGCAATTACAGCCATTCTTGTATGGAAAACTGATTTAAATAGAATACTTGTGGCAAGATTTCCAAAGTCATTCAAAAATTATCTGAATCCATTCCAGCTGGAGCCTATCAAAATCCCACTGAATTGCATAGCAGCAGAACTGACCACTGGTTTTAGTTGATTTTGAATTCTTAAAATGCAATAAATCCATCATGACATTACCTCCACCAATAGGTGGGCAGACCAAGGCAGGCTAACACAAAGCCCACGACCAGGCTAGGCTTCAGCATGTCCAGAGCAACATTACAGGTTGCCAGTAGGTCCCTGACGTGCACCTTAAGAGCACCCAGGGATTACGTTTTCAGAAATACCCCACAAATCTCCAAGCTGTCTTCCCTGCTCAGTGTCATTGCAAGGAAATGAGTCAGGACATCCACGGTGCCTGTAATGGAGATAAGGATACGGATGCCTTCCCACAGGAAGGTAGCACAAATAATGCCAAATCTCTCTCCTAAATGTGGTATTAATCCAACATAAAATGTGTGTCTGAGATACGAGGTGGCTGGATGCAAGGAAAGTTTGGGGTTCGAGTTCATTGCCAGTTTCAATCAAAATGCTGACAATTTTCTTTCAAAACATGAAAAATCAGTAAGTTTCAGAATGATTTTATACCTATCGCTCACATGGTAATGTTTCACATTTTATCGACACCATTATTGCCAATTGGAAAGTTGTAACTAAGTAGGAAAGTTAACCAATCCTATGATCATTTTGCACATGCATTTCAGCTCTGTCTGGCCCTGGTCTGGTGCGTATGATAGCAATTTGTGTTGAATCAACAATTGACCACCTGGACAAACTAGAGGAGGTAACCACTGAAGTAGGAAACATCAACGTGTTGAACCTCATGAGACGGATCATGCTTGACACATCTAACAAGCTTTTTCTCGGGATCCCTTTGGACGGTACTAACACCTTTATTTTTATACCTTATGATGGATCTAAAGCACAAGTCCAAAGAAAACTCATTGACATCACTCAGCAGTTTGTTTCAGAACAGACTCTTACATCACCATATAATTAATTGAAATTGATTTATGAGTTATTTTAGTTCTAAAGGAGAATTTTATATGAAAAAATATACATTTAGCTTGTCACATTCGCCTTAATAAGTACTACCATTTAAAGGGATTTTTGTACACTGAGTTGGTACAATCCCGATATTATACGCATGCAAGAATCGGAAATCTTTCTGCCAAACTAAATGATTGCCTTGAAAAGTTCACTGGAAAATTTATGTTCTCTGCAATTTCTTCATCCTCAAAACCATATGATAGAAATAACATTATTGTGATGTATAAATTATCCCATTTCAATATGCTGCAAGAGTTCTGCTTCTGCTCTCCTGTGGGAGACTATTTGACTCTGGTTGACACATCACTATCTCCTTTTTGCTAGCTACCAGGAGTTTTTACATAGGTCTATACCTTTTCTACAGTCTGCTATGAATGTTTTCTAATGCTGTTTACCACATACTAAAACCAATTGTTTATCAAATTCCCATGAACTTAGAATAGGGAACAGGGCCTTATTTTTTCTGAAAAAATTGTGTTCTTTGACTATTGAGATTTATATTTTATAATGTTTTCTGTTAATGTTTATTTTCAGAAAGTGCCATTGTACTAAAGATTCAGAACTACTTTGATGCTTGGCAAGCACTTTTATTAAAACCCGACATCTTTTTTAAGATTTCTTGGCTGTGCAAGAAATACGAAGAGGCAGTGTAAGTATTATTAGTATTACAAATCATTTGCATAAGATTCTTTCTAAGAAAGAGATCTTCCTTGGTATTTTCCTCTGCCTTTTAGAAAATAAACTGTGAAACTCATAAAGGTGGCTGGCTGAAGTCCCCTACCTGCAGACCCAAGATAGCAGCAGAACAAAATTTGCCACTGATGCTACAAGTGGCTGATCCGGGGGGATGATTTAAAGCACTTACCTATCCAGTCTTAGTTTATTCACTAAAATATTAGTTATCACCAGCCCAAATGTGAAACTAAATTGAAATCACTGGTTCGGTTCAAACAGGGAAGGAAAAGTCACCATATGGGGTGAAGTTACACTTGCTCTCTAGTTGAGAATAGTCAATAGTAGGCTACAATTCATCAAAACAAGAAAACCCATCTACATTCGTGGCATTGTCCCAGAAGAGGTAACCCTTGATACAATTCTAGGTATTGGTGCCTCCAACATGCATTTTTGAGTTAAAATTTGGTGCTCAGCATGATAATCCATTTCGAGGCTTTTTTATTCCTAAAAAAGGAACAAATATGTTTTACCATCTTCCTCTTTGCAAAAACATAAAATGCCTCTTCTTTTTTTACAATCTTATTTGCTGTCTTTTGCCAAAAGAGAGTGGCTGTAAAAAGAACTGGCAATCGGTTGGTGCATTTTGGATCTGGATTCCATCGAGTGAAAGAAACCACTACTTATGAAGCATGTGTAATAAATTGTTTTGATAGTGCAATATAACATAAAGGCTTTAAGGGAAAGATGGACGTTCATCTAAACTAATTGACAACTCTTATGAACTAGACACAAGATGTACCTTCTCTAACATTTGCTTGCCAGTTTTATTATGGCACCAATCAGTGCTTTATCCTGTGATTCTAATAACAGATAACTGTGGTGGCCCAATTATTACTCTACCCTGCAGGCAAATGATGTTTCAAAAGCAATCCCATTAAAATAGACTTATTCATAAATTTCTACTGTAAAAAAAATTATAAAGATTGATGGACTTAAAGCAATGCAAAGGACCACCACAGGATATGATGACTTCTGATAAAGCTGGCAAAAAGGACGATTTGCTATTTCTAATACAGAAAAAAATGTTATAAATAGTAAGAACTACACCAAGTTTGAAGTTTTAAATGCATTTACCCCTACAAAACCCAGTTAAATTTTCTACTCCAACAATAACAAACACCAATGGAAATGAGAATTTCATTCAAAAGCTTTTCAAAATACCTTTTAAAAAGAATTGCCTTCTAATCTATAGATAATTGAAAATCCCAAGTAAAATTATAAAAGCTGTTGTACTTTGCTTTTTTCCACTACAGAAATACAAACTGTTGACAGAGTATTAGACCAACTCTACCTTCAAGACAGTACAGTTTTTCTAACACTTATCTACATTTCTCTAAGAATTGTCCCTCACATTCTCGAAGTTCATTTTATTCACTGTTAAAATACAGTATAAACCAGGAGGAAATAAACAAATTATTTGGAAGTGTTAATAAATCTTTAAAAACTTTATTCATTAATAGGATACACATCCTTTTCAGTCTCTCCTATTAAAAAAATAAATTCAGTCCAAACTAACAAGCAATTCGCTGATAATAAGAAAATATACCTTTCCTTTAATTATGAATGCCTTTGTAGAGAACCATATAACCACTCTTAGGAAAACTTAGTTTCTGCCATTCTTAGATGTTTTTATTGGTATAAATTCTATGTTTCTAATAATATGCTAGTGTATACTAGAAGTCAATGTGTTGGATTTCACCTGTTTTCAGCAAGGATCTGAAAGGAGCAATGGAAATCTTAATAGAACAAAAACGACAAAAGCTTTCCACTGTTGAAAAGTTGGATGAACACATGGATTTTGCATCCCAGTTGATTTTTGCACAGGTATTGGCAATGTACTCAAAATATGGTTAACTTTGACTTTTCTGACATTTTCCTGTCACTACCAATACAGGCTTTGCAACTTAAATTTCATGTATCTATTTGGAAGTCATGTCATCATAAAGGGATACAAAGTAGTTAGTTCTGGAGAGTCTCTAACAGCAATTCAAACATTGAATAGTTGTGGTTTTTGGAACAGGTGGTTGTCTGATTTTTTTCATGGCTTAAACAACATCTTTACAACTCTTGCATCTATCCTTGATTGTCCTCCAGTCTTTCCCTAATCCCTGTTTTTTATCTTGATGTATTATCTTTTGCTTGCAAACACTTCAAATGCTATGAAAATCCTATCTTGTATCATCTCTGACAGCTCACAAACTCTGTGAGGAAAGGCAATAAATCAATAAGAATCTGAGCTAAGAACAAACTTTTGCTTTTCTGAAAGAAAGAATCATTGAACTATAGAATGGTTAGAGTTGGAAGGGACCCCAAAGATTATTTAGTTCCATCCCCCCTGCCATGGGCAGGGACACCTCCCACTAGACAGGTTGTTCAAAGCCTCATCCAGCCTGGCTTTGAACAGCTCCAGGAATGGGGCATCCACAATTTCCATGAGTAACCTGTGCCAGGGTCCCAACACTCTCACAGTGAAGAATTTCTTCCTAATATCTAACCTAAATCTCCCCTCTTTCAGTTTAAAACTGTTACTCCTTGCCTTATCACAACACTCCCTCATAAAGAGTCCCTCCCCATCTCTCCTGTAGCCCCTTTAGGTACTGGAAGGGGCTATAACGTCTCCCTGGATCCTTCTCTTCTCCAGACTGAACCACCTCAACACTCTCAGCAGAGGTGCTCCATCCCTCTGATCATCTTTGTGGCCTCCTCTGGACAATAAAAGAAAGATAATACACACCCATCAAAACATGAGTTTTTTGTTTTTCTCTGGAAAACAAAAAATGAGATGAGATTGAAAGACTGTCAAGATTTTTACTTTTGTTTAAAGCAGATATTTTAAGTCCTTCTGATTCTACTGCTATAGGACCTTTGTTTGGCATCAGAGTTCAGCAATCAACATTTTCCCCAAAATTTCCAATTTTTTCAGAATAGAGGGGATCTGACTGCCGAGAACGTGAACCAGTGCGTGCTGGAGATGATGATTGCTGCTCCTGATACTCTGTCTGTGACTCTCTTCTTCATGCTTATACTGATTGCAGAGCACCCCACAGTGGAAGAGGAGATGATGAGAGAAATTGAAACTGTTATGGGTAAGCAGGAGCTGCAAACTCAGTGATGTGGGAATATAATTTTGTTTCAGCAGTGATCTAATTTTGATTCTTCAAGGGCTGAACATTCTAAGTGTTTTTTCTAACAGAAGCATGTGCTGTAAAATATGCAAACTACCATTATATCAAGAAGATTGTATTCAAGTTCAAATGAAAGAAGATGAGCAATCTGTGAAATAAATAGGCATAATCAGAAATGACAATCTATTAGAAAGAATGCACTATAGTCACTCCTCAGCAATAGTAGTGCAAATCAACACTCGCCTCATAAGTTCCATTGAAATTATTTTCCATTTACCTTGAAATAGCAAAGGGGTACTCATTTCAAATACTTCTAATCATCAATATTTCTCTGTGTATACATGGAATCTCTCTAAGTCTCACTATGACTGCAGAAGGGAAAGATTAGAGAAAATTAAAATTATATTCTGCTGTCATCCGTTTTGATATCAAACTGGTCTCCTCCTTAATTACTAACTACTCAAAATACAATCAAGATATTCCAAATTTTCCCATATCTCTAGACTTCATTCAAAGCCTGATACTGAACTAATATAGAAACTACTTTCATCCACTCTCTTTCAATATTTCTTCTGGTCAGTTAAACACTGGAAAGTGTATAACAAGTCTTTTACTCTTTTTCTAAGGTACTTTCAATTAACCTTATGTTATTGCCCTCATGAAAGTTGACCACTCACTTATTCATCTTGCCTATTTCTAAGACAGTAAAATATTGTTGCCTTTTCCTTAAGCAAATGACCAACTCGGGTAGCAAAGCTGCCTTTTATGTTGAAAACCTGCCAGTGCAGTGGTGAGCCTGTAGTTCTCAAACTGCTCGTGGCTTGAAAATTGAAGTAAGGCTCCCACTGGCAATGCTGATACCGCTGCTGACGGAATCAAGCCGGGAGGAAGTTACTCATGGTAACCAAAATTAGTCAGGCCACAGTAGGACCTAGTGGTATATCCAGCCAATCACATGGTGAAAATTTAAGGTCCCCACAAGCTTATCTCCCATCTGCAGACTACTCCCAGGTTCCGTTTGCTGTCAACTCTTCAGCAAATATTTATTTGCTGTGTCTTGTTGCCCTCAGTGATACAAAAGTCAAGGAAGGAGTTTTGTCATTAACAAGAAAGCAGAACAAAGACTCATAATGTATGCAGGAGAAAAGGTGAGAATATTGTAAATTAATAAACTGGGGTTTATGCTGATGAAAAATATACCAGATTTCCCAAATATGTATGGTTACATAAAACTCATTAGAAGCTGTTGGATCCTTCTTACCATTTCAGGAACTGAGAGTCTTCCAAAAATGTTTTTGTATTTGTACAATTAAGCTATTCAGTTCATAACCAGCTTCTTTACCATCTGTTTTATTCCTCAAGGTGACAGAGACATACAGAGTGATGACATGCCAAACTTAAAAATCGTGGAGAACTTTATTTATGAGAGCATGAGATATCAGCCAGTTGTGGACTTGATCATGCGAAAAGCTTTACAAGATGATGTAATTGATGGCTATCCTGTGAAAAAGGGAACAAACATTATTCTCAATATTGGACGGATGCATAAGCTTGAATTCTTCCCAAAGCCAAATGAGTTTTCTCTTGAAAACTTTGAGAAAAATGTAAGTTTTCTATCTTATTTCTTACAAGAAATTGGTTATAATTTATTGACAATGTATCTTTCTCTTATTTTCATCAAGAACTTTGTGACCATTAGACTGTTTTTCCTTTGATGTTTCTAGCTAGATATACATCCTGCTTATTACTGTTGTTATTATTATTAAAGCTAGGCAGATATTTTCCTGTCAAAGTGCCTCTTAAAAATAATTATGATATTGAATACAAAGTTTTTTCCAGACATCTTAATTCCAATTAAAAATTTCTAGTTAAATTTGTCAATGACACTCATAGTTCCCATTACATCCTCTGACATTGGACAAAACAGAGTCTCCAGAGAGCTAGAGCCGTGCAAGCAGTACAAGACAGCTAAGGCCACATGAGGATTCTCCAGATAGGTGAAACAGTATAGTAGCTCTGGAGAGACTGGGAATCTACCACCCATTTTATTCTTTTTTTTTTTTTTAATTCCTAAATAAAAGTAAACATCTTTTCTAGACCAAAATGGAAATCCTAATTTTTAGCCAATTAAATACTGTCTTAAAGTTTATTCTTCATATTATTCTGTGCAGGTTCCTTCACGCTACTTCCAACCTTTTGGATTTGGCCCTCGGGGCTGTGTAGGAAAGTTTATTGCCATGGTAATGATGAAAGCAATTCTGGTGACTCTTCTGAGACGGTGCAGAGTACAGACAATGAAGGGAAGAGGCCTTAACAACATCCAGAAAAACAATGACTTATCCATGCACCCAATAGAAAGGCAGCCTCTGCTAGAGATGGTTTTCACACCAAGAAGAAACACGAACAAAAATCAGGATGACTAAAATGGATCAGGCACCAGCATTGAAGTCACAGGGCTTTCTCAGCCACAGCCACTAAGAAAGCCCCATTGTTCCTAGGTAAAGTTCTAGAGTAAAACAATTTTTGGCCCCTAAATCACTACAGCTTCATATGACAACTTGTTCTGCCTGCACAGCAGAACTCTGGCCACAACTTCAGTGTAATAAAGACTAAAACTACAAAATAGCTCCTAGGTGACACCACACTATATGCAGGATTCCTGACTACTTTATAAAACCTTCAAGTTCAGACAAAGTTATGCCTTGCTTTTCAAACAGCACAAGTTCAAAGGTTTGGAGGTCAACAAAAGAACACTCCTGATGTGTATTCAGTTCCAGAACTACTCCCCTTTTGCCCCCACCTCCTGAAGTTGGACCTAGCAGTATTTAACTACTGCAAAAGCTCTAATTATCTGGGTTTGAAAACATCTGACTGAATAATACTAAAGTTGATGTTATTTAGGACATAAACAAGTTATAAAAAAAATGTTTGTACAAGAAGTCATTCAAAACTTTTTCTCTACTGTGTTTTACTTTCATCTTGAACAGATACCAAAGACTTACAGTGTCAGATAGATTGCACTGAGGGTAGTAATTTTCAGAGCACTAAGTAATATGACAACTTGAAACCCAGTATCCTGCTACAGAGGATCTGTAAACATCTTAGCAATGATCAGCTGAGAAAAAGGTAATAAATATAAAACATTACTGCTAGTATTACACAAGGCAGAAGGAAAAACGGTCACAGCTCCAGCTCATCTGGGTAACTGAAGGAACTGCCCACCTCATCGCAGTTTGGTGAAGCAGTTCAAATTCTCTCTAAGCTGCCTAAGCAGTACCAAATCCTGTTTCAATTGCTTGATTCAACTTCAGAGAGTAAGATTCAGAGTTGTTGCCCATGTTCCCACACCACAGCAGGAGAGAAAGTCCCTCCCAAATTTTTCACAAAGCTCTTATGGCTTCTCCAGAAAGAGCACCAGGCTGCATCCTGCTCTCAAGCATCCTGCTTCACACCCACTCATTTAAAGAAAGCCAGTAGCATCAAAAGAGAAACACTGGCTCAAGAGGTAGACCTTTTTTTTTTTTAAAGGTAAAATGGGCTTCACTCATCTACTCAAGGTAAGATGGCAGTCTTATTGGGTAAATGCTCAGAGTTCTGTAGTGGCAAAGAAGAGAAGTTCTGAAGTAATAATCAGATTTCCAGATAACATTTTTTAAAGGGTTTTCTACATACACAGATTTTTATATTAATTATTAATTAGGCTTAGTATTATACTTAGTCCTTAACAGGAAAGATACATAACTACCCACAATTTCTTGTTGAAAATGGACCTATCTTGAAATCTGTAGAATCTTGATGTTCATTGATATCTCTATCAGTGTAATGATGAGTTATTGGTTTGGTCAAGAAGAAAAAAACCCTCCCGGCTTAATGATCACATCCATTGACAGAGACTTCCCACGTTCAGTAAGCTCAAGTTTTCATACTGTGTAACCCAAAGAAAGGAGTTTTCTGGATAAAGTGCCTTGATAAAGCCAACCAACCAATAGGCTTTATATTAACTTTTTCCTTCCAAGTCACTTAAACTGTAAAAAGAAAAAAAAAATTGTTCATGTATTGTGTATGGCCTTATTTCAAATATCTAATTAGAATTAGTTAGATTAACTAATCTGTTCCCTCAGACCACTGCTCTCAGGTGCAGGTTCACCAGAGGAATATCTATCCAGCAGCATGGAAAAATTGCATAAACCAACTAAATAATTATGTGTTCCAGCCAAAGGCAATGAGTTAGGTCAGGCTGGGGCTGCTGACAAAGAAGAGGAACTGCACATTTAGGTGTTTTCTCAAAACAGCATGTAAATTTTCTAGAATAATTAAAAAAAATAATCAAACTTGAAAGCAGAATAATTTATTGTAGGTAGGTTGCTTTTAAAGCTTTCTCCATAGCATTTGCATGGTACCCAAAAATAACAATAGTAAAGGGCAATCCCATACCACCCATAAACACAGACAAAATTGGGCATTTAAAGATGTATAGAAATATGGGACTTCTACTATGTCATGAAGCAACACAGTGGTATGAACCTTTGGAATATCTAATGTAACCTCTATTTCTACATTCTCTCTAGCCTTTAAACTAGGAAATTGCTAGAGCTGTTGGGAGAATAAAACAACAACCCCCCCCCAAAAAAACCCACCCCACAAAAACTTATTAAATCCCATTCTTACTCATTCTGTATTTTAAAATACCAAAAAGGGTACTTCAGTGGACCCACATTTCTCATTTGTTCAGGAACTTTAAAAAGAAGCCCACTGAAGGGTCTTTTTTCTTGGGAATAAACTACTTTTTCATACGCAGTACACATCTTTGCTTATTTCACACACAAAAAACATTTCTTACAGTGATAAGTTACTCTCTGATTTTCCATCTCATAATTATAGGTCTCTCCCCCAAGTAAAATTTTTCACAAGGTTGGAATTAATAAATTACTTTTATCATTCAAATTTTGAAACAATTATATAAAATCATGTAGATATATGAAAAATGCATGCTGTTCTGATTTTTTTAATGTATTATATATTGTTGAATTTGTAGACTGGAATTTCAGAAACATGATTACCATAATTATCCTATGGAAGAAATAAAGCAGGTTCATTTTTTACTTTTTGTAAGCAAGCCTGCAGAACTATTTCCCTTTGTATTTTAAGTATCTTCTTTCTGATATGCTTTGCACGCTGTGTTTCTGGTCCTCAAATTTCTACAGTACTTAATTCCATCCAAATGTGGACAACAGACCTGTTAATTAATCTCAGCTATTAGCTAATCTGAGCCCCATTCTCCATATCTCTGTTATGGCTGTTATGCAGTGGTCTATTTGCATGAATATTTGCATGGTAAGATCCATTTCCCTTTCCCATATACTTACTTACGTTTGAGAACTGCAGTTGGTGAAGCAGTGTTTCAAAGCTTGCCATGTGGATATAAACAGTTTAAATCCTTTCAATGTATATATGCCATTGTATAAAACAGACCTCTGATTTTAAATGGTGTTTTATTACCAGGTACTGTAAAAATCTAAGTGGCTTAAAACCACATCAACTCTACTGTCATCAAGTGGCTATTCCATTAATGTTCAGTACATCAACATAGACCAGACTTGAAGACTATGTTTTATACATCACTGTGATTATGGGCTGCTCACAGCACATAAATGTGGGTGTTGTTAGAAAATAAAATAGTAATGAAATAAAAGTTGTACGCTCAAAAACAAGTTTTAAATCATGATTGTGTTTTCTCAATCTAAGAATCACAATAAAGCATTTAAATCTATGAATGTGTATGCATGCACGAACTGCTTGCTAAAAGTATTAAATACAAGGATGAAATCTGGGATGTTCTAAACTCAGATTTCCCCTTGATTTCGGAGGGCATACTATTGCAAATATTTTTAATAACAGTAAGAAAGCAGAAATAGATTAAGTAATTTCATTTCATACAAGACTTCTTGTCTAACGATGCACTTTATTGAAACTTTAAAAGGAGGAGGAAGAGGTAGTTACATGACAGAAAACAGGAAGGTAGGAAATGGCTCGGTAAAACAAAAAATTAAAAAAAATAAAGCATGAGAACTCTTTAATATGGGTGCAAGTGGATAGATTTTTCAGACAGTAACCTGATCACAAGATACTCCCAGTGAAAACATTTATCATGGAATTTTACAAGGTCTATTAATAATTTTGAACCATTAATAAACAATTGTCAGTTTTATTAGATTGTTCACTTTCTGCATTCTCCAATACAATGCAGTGTTATAGCTTCAGTTAATATCCCATTAAGATAAATTCTTAACTTTAAAAGAAAATGCCCATTGAAAGTTTAGAGCAGAAAGGAATGTCTGACTTGGATAGAGGAAAACAGTTAATATATTGGAGCCAAATCTGCTCTGATCTACAGTGAAATAAATCCTTCTCTAATCTCAGAGTGGAATTTGCTGCTGACATACCCATTTTAATGTGGCAGTTACCCAGGACTTGAAAGGTTAAGACTGTTAGGGCTCAAAACAACATTACCCATCTACAGTAACTGTAACCCTTAAACTTTATGATATCTTTTTATAAAAGTGCTAGTTTTACATACTGTTATAACTCCAATGTTTTCAAACACAAACCTTTCATTTCACAATGCAGAAAAGCACCCAGTTCCACAGATCTACACTACTGTAGCAATCACTCCATTCAAATGCATCAATGCATAGAAGACAAAAACATCCAGAACTGTTTTTTTTAGAATTATATATTGTGAAATACATTCATTCAATAAACTCTGCTCCTTTCATAAAGTGAGATGATGTTGTGCTGTTCATATTTTTGCAATCATCTCTTTAGGTGCAGCTAACTTTATGTAGGTACAAATATAATTGAAGAGATCTAAGAGTTAACATTGCACTCTGAGCAGAGTCCAGCAGATGGCACACACAGAAAATTTGTTCATGCAACAAGAACAGCTTACGTATTACAGAAGTCCCTGTTGATATAAAAAAGCTAAAAGCAGATAAACTCCTATGGTCTTGTTCAGTTATTAAACGCTGCCTTAGGAGGAGGTGGAGTCATTCTAGAGTGCTTGAAAGTGTAGAAGTGGAGAGAAAACTAAGCACTGGTAGCGTGAACAGAATTTATTGGCATTATTCCAATTAGTACTGGCATTAGAACATTATTTTCAAGTACCACACTTTACTAAAGTGTTCTTCCAGTCTACTCAAGTGGAATTTGTACCATTTGGCATCCAGATTGATAGAACAGTGCTTATTAAGTTTCAAAATGATTTCTGAGAAATTGTAAGGCTCTGTCGGTATTCGAAGCGCAATTCAGTTTAACCTAATTAATTTGATGCATTGATACTAACTCACTTTCTCTTAATATGACATTTTTAGATTATTTTACCTTGTTGCTTGGTTAATTTAATTTAGTGACTCTATGGCATTCTTCCATAGTCCAGAGCAGAACTGGCATCTCTAATGAAACATTAGTCTTTAGTGGATTTTTGTGTATTGATCCTTCAGTGAGTAATGCAGGTCCCAATACTTCATGCAGCCTCATCACACTTCTACAGTAGTTAGGAACTTATCAGTCCAAGAACTGAGCATGTCTTCATAATAACTCTTTATTCGTTAAATAATTGTGGGTCAAAACCAAGACCAGTCAACTCAGCTGCAAGAAAAGGATATATTTGGCACAATGTGCACACCTCCATTAAACTGCCTGATTAGAGCTGAAAATACCTTCCATCAGATTTCAATCACTTAATTCCTCTTTAGTTTTAGAAGAGCTGATTAGCATCTCATTCAATGCTTTATAAACTTAACCTTACCTTGTAATGATATGTAGATGGAGTTGAATTTCATTCTCCATTTAGCAGCCATTGAAAGATTCTTGGCAAGTAATTATAGATCAAAATAGCTATATTCAGAAACTGCACCTTCTAACACCTATATGCATATTTGTATTTATATTCACCTTCTTTCATTCCAGCAAATGTTAGAAGACATTTTTCAGTGTTAAACAATAGTTCAAGAGAGACATGAGAAGAGTATAAATCAGTATTATTATAATATTAAGTATGGTGCTAACTGCATTAAGAAAATTGCCACTTACTTTCATTTCAGAAAGCACATAATTAAATTTTGCAAAAGGATTAGATCCAGCTACTGAATGAAAGCTAAAGCAGCTGCAAATGGGTCTTTTTCTGTTTGATGTGAAGCGAAATGTTTTCAAATGAAATTTCACCAGCTCAGATGTATAAATACAAATGAAACTATATTTATTGGTCTTGTCTTCCTTCTTCCACAAAGAATAATGCAAAGAAGATAAAATTATACTATAGAAATGTTATCAATCCATTATATTACTTTATCTTAGGATCTCAAAGCATGTTATATCAATGAAGCCTTCAAAACAGAGCTGACTTGCTAAACTCATGCTCCAGAGAAAGGTTACAGTGCTAAAAAATCTGCAGTGTAGTTCAGGATCTAATTGTCTGCAGGCCCCTTCACACCAATGACAATTTTTTGTCAAAACCCCCAAACACTGAGACCATAATCCAGTAAAAAATGCCTTTGCCTAGATGCCAGGATATATGGCCGGAGCCTGCACCTCTGAAGATGTATGCATGGTGTAAGTAAATAAGACTATGTATACAGTAAATATTTGTCTAATACTCTGTAAATCATATGATCTAACAATTTAACCAAAAGTGAGCAGAGCAGGAAAGATATAATAAATATATGACAATACTTTGGTTATAATGTACAGTAAAACTCAGGGAGAGCAGGAAGTTGCAGCATAAAGAAAAATGAGAAGGTAAGCCAACCATTATTGCAAGTGTATCCAGGGAACCTACAGGTGAAGATGATGCCACCACTGCCAGGAATAACACCTCGTTGTCAGAACTGGAGATACTATTGTGTTGTTGTGACACGCTGCCAAAGGAAGTAGAGGGAATAATAGTCATCAATGTTGGGACTCCACACATTGTCAAGATGTGGCCAAGAAGGCCAATGGTCTCTTGGGGTGCATTAAAAGAGAGCATGGCCAGCAGGCTGAAGGGAGCTCATCTTCCCCCTCTGCTCTGCCCTGGTGAGGCCACATCTGGAGTACTACATCCAGTTCTGGGCTCCCCAGTTCAAGAAAGACAGGGAACTACTGGAGAGAGTCCAGCGGAGGGCTACAAAGGTGATCAGGGGACTGGATTATCTATCTCTCTTATGAGGAAAAGCTGAGACACCTGGGTCTGTTGGGCCTGGAGAAGAGAAGATTGAGAAAGGATCCTATCAATGTTTATCAGTATCTACAGGGGGGGTGTCAAGAGGATGAGGCCAGACTCTCGTTGGGGGTGCCCGGTGACAGGACAAGGGGCAACAGGCACAAACTGGAACACAGGAAATTCCATCTCAACATGAGGAAAAACTTCTTTACTTTGAGGGTGCCAGAGCAGCGGAACAGGCTTCCCAGAGAGGTTGTGGAGTCTCCTTCTCTGAAGATATTCCACACCCACCTGGATGAGTTCCTGTGCAATCCACTTTAGGTGAACCTGCTTTGGCAGAGAGGTCGGACTAGATGATCTCCAAAAGTCCCTTCCAACCTCTGCTATTCTGTGTTGCTGTGAAGATCCAAGGAGAACACTTTAAGAGAGATATAGGAGGCTTGCTAAAATGTACCACCTGGGGTTTATTTTTGCTTGCTTATTGTTATTAAGTGGTTTACCAGTAAATTATTGTCTCTGTATCACGCGTTTTCCTTTGTTGCTGGCAAGTATCCTGCTTCAAAATAAAAAGTGCAAGAACATCAAGGATTTTTTTTTGTTTGTTTTTTAATAGCTACTTAAAATTATATCAAGAAGTGACAACTCACTATTTTCAGTTCCAGCTACACACTAGAGCTCTTTGCTATACCAGGAGAATGTCACCTAGCAAATACAAAAGCTTGTGAAATTCTCTAAAATTTGAGTCATTTATCATCAATCATTTCTGAAAAGTTTCATGGGAACTGTATCACGATCCAACAAAGGATAAATTGTTTTGAACTACCTCTTAGAAGGGTAAAAGCTTTTCCTACAGCATGCTAATACAAAACATTGGCATGCATGAGATAGAGAGGTTTGTGACTCGCAGGACAAGGAAGTTTGTGCAGACTAAACAAAGATACACTCCTTAGTGAGCATTCTCTCCTGGGCACTCTCTGCTCTTTGGAAACTGCTCCTCCTCAAAAGCCCTGTGAAGAGCTTGAGTTTAAGAAGGCCAAGACTGCAATTTATCTGCTACCACTAACAATAGAATCTAAGGTTGGGTAATTGTAAGAAAAATAAGAGAAATAAAAAACATACCAACCCACAATATTTTGTGAAAGGGAGGGCAATGATGCAGTACTGATGTGCAGGTATAGTCTCCCAACTTTATAACCTAGTGAAAGCCCAAGTTTGCCAGTTCTTTAAAACTATCAAGCTACAGATCATCAATCTGTGAGCAGCTTAAGGCATAATATTTGATTTACTTACATTTCAAACCAAATTTACTGAATTTTCTGTTTAAAGTTTGCTAATATGAATTCGTTTCCACATTATTTTTTTTTATTAAATGATTAAATTCCCAATTGTCCTCTGAGAATCCAAGGAGTTCTCTGTAGAACAGAAAGCAGGGACAGAGCATGAATAGGAGCAATTGGAGACAAAACCAATCTAAGACACTGCTGCAGCACTTGGCTTCTGAAGAGGCTGATTAATTAGCATGGTGTTTTTGTGACACCACAGGCTTTCAAACAAAATACCACAGACTGGACTTGGATCACAGTAAAAACCCTTAATGAATAATACTGCAGTGGAGCCTTCACAAGTCAATGACTATTTATATCTTAGTCCACAGTTTGAAAAGTTAAAAAATAAACTGAATTGTGACATTTATTCACCAAGACTTATCAGAACTTACAATGTGTGGTTTACAGGGGTTCAATTCAGTATTCTGAGCCAGTCTAATGAAATGTCATGTAAAGTCAGTGGGATTTAGAACACCAAGTGTTACAATTGCTCCTGAGAGCAAGGAAAAATTAATTCTAAATATATTTTAAAATTTACCGCAAAGACATCATGTTCTTCTAACTGGTTCGCAATAAGCAGCAGTACATACGCACAACATAAAACCTAAAGTAACAGTCTTCCGACAGGCTGTCATATGAGATACTTTATGCTTTATCTTATCTGTAAAGCATTGCCATTATTAGTTTTAATAGTATTTTAATTCTGAAATATTAAGGTTGTACTCTGTGCCACAGTCTGGCTTTCTGCACCAAGTCTAAACATTTTCTCTTTTTTT